TTTTTTTGAGACAGAGTCTTACTCTGTTGCCCAGGCTGGAGTGCAGTGGCACAATGTCGGCTCACTGCAACCTCTGCATCCAAGTCTCAAGCTATTCTTGTGCCTCAGCCTCCTGAGTAGCTGGAATTATAGGTGTGTCACACCATACCTGGCTAAGTTTTGTGTTTTTAGTGGATATGGGGTTTCACTATGTTGGCCAGGCTGGTCTTGAACTCCTGAGCTCAAGTGATCCCCCTGCTTTGGCCTCCCAGAGTGCTGGGATTACAGGCATGAGCCACTGTGCCTGACCCCATCCCAAGTCTTGCTTAAAACAGCAAGCACTGTAAATCCTTTTGGCCATTTTTTACTGTTTATATTCTCTATCTTTTAAAATAATTTAATCATGCTGTTGTTTCTTGATTTTTCAGCTTTAGTCATTCTCCATAGGTTTCTTACTAGTGAGGATAAGAATTTAACTCTTAGACTGGTGCCCCTTTCAAATACATATTTCCCTCCATTTTCTTAAAAGAGTTACGTTTTGTTAACATTCTATGCTTACCCAATTATAACTATAAATGTCTTAAACAGCTGAGATATATGGTGTACTATGATGATGACTTTTTGTTTTTTCTGGAGTTTATAATTGCCTTTCTTTTTCTATTTGATTAATTTTCTAGCATTTTTGCCTACTAATTACTCCCAGAATTTTCAGCAGCATTGCAAAACTCTTTTCCAGATAGTCAGACACATCATATTGCTCATTGACTTCAATTAGTTCTGATATTTTTCTTGGGGACCCTCTTCCTAGAGCCTGTGTCCTGCTCCAAAGTAGACCAGTTGCACAGCTATGGTTCTGCAGCCTCCCTTTTTCATCAACGTGGAAATTTCTTTCACTTCTCCTCTGGGTCAAACCCCTTTCGCTTAAACCTGTGTCATCTCTCTCTGTTTATTGCTTTGTCTTGATGGAGTACATCTTTCAGTAGCTTTCAGAGAAAGTATACATGGGGTGTGTGTTTATTTCCAAGTGCTTCTGTAATTAATTACTACACTGGTTACCTTAAAACAACAGAATTTGTTTTTCCACAGTTCTGAAGGCTGTAAGTTTGAGTCAAGGAGCCACCAGGGCCCTGTTCCCTCTGAGGCTCTGGGGAGAACCCTCCCTTGCCTCTTCCAAGCGTTTGGTGATGGACGTTGATGCTTGGTGTCCCTTGGATTACAACCACATCCTCACTAATCTCTGCCTATTTTGTCACATGACATTCTCCCTGTGTGTGTGTCTGTGTCTGAATTTTCCGTTTCTAATACAGGCATCAGTTATATTGTATAAGGGCCTGTCCTTTTCGAGTATGACCTCATCCTGACTTATGGTATCTGCAGACCTGATTTCCAGTTAATTGGGAGGTATTGGGGATTAAGACTTCAGTTGATCTTTTAGGGGAACACAATTTAACCCATAACAGAATGCAAACATTTGAGACCCTAAATATTTAAAATGTCTTCATTCTACTGGGGCAGCTTGAATGAGTCAGAATTTTAAGTTGGAAATACAGCTAGTGCTCGACTTACGACCACGATTGGGACTGGCAGACCGGTCGTAACACGATTTGGTTGTAAGTTGAGTAGGCTATATGTACAGTTGAAATGGTGCACACGGAGATGGTAGTGCTGCCGGAAGCTGGTCCGCACTGTCGTACGCCCAGCTGGGCAACGTTTGTGCTGCCAGACGCGGAGCAGTCGTGGCTAGCGATTGTGGTCGTAAAGTCGAGTGGTCGTAAGTTGCATAGGTCGTAAGTCGATCAATACCTGTAATTTTCCCTGGGGATTTTGAAGGCATTGCTCCATTGTTGTGAATTAATTTGGAGATCTGATGCTCTTTCTGACCCATCATCTTTTGTTTGTGACCCTTTTCTCACGGTCTTAGAAGTTTTAGGAGCTCATCTTAGTCCTGGTGGTGGTGAATCTCATTACGAGGTACGTTGGTATGGACCTATGTTCCTCCATTGTACTGGGTCCTTAGTACTGGGCTTTTTCATTAGGAAACATGTCATTTGTGTCTGGGTAATTTTCTCATACAGTTTCTTGAATAATTTCCTTCCTCCCTTTGCTCTGAAATTCCTATTGGTTAGATGTTGCTCCTCAGAAACTGAGCCTCTAATGTTTTCTTTGTTTCTCTTTTCAAACTTGTTGTCCTTTTTGTCTTTTTTCTTTTTATTTTTTGGAGAATGAGGCCTCAGTATGTTGTGCAGGCAGGTCTCAAACTCCTGGGCTCAAGCGATCCTCCTGCCTCTCCCTCCCAAAGTGCTGGGATTAGAGGTATGACCACCACACCCGGCCTCCTTGTTTCTCTTTTGTTCTATTTCTTTGTCCTTTTGTGCCAATTTCCTCGACTTCATATGCCAGCCCTTCTGCTGGCATTTTTATTTTGGATTATCTTATATTTTTAAGAGCTGATTATTTATTTATTTATTTATTTATTTATTTATTTGAGATGTATTGTCTCTCTGTCACCCAGGCTGGAGTACAGTGGTACGATCTTGGCTCACTGCAACCTCTGCCTTCTGGGTTCAAGTGATTCTCCTGCCTCAGCCTCCTGAGTAGCTGGGATTACAGACACCCACCACCACACCCAGCTAATTTTCGTATTTTTAATAGAGAGGGGGTTTCACCATGCTGGTCAGGCTGGTGTCGAACTCCTGACCTCATGATCCATCCACCTCAGCCTCCCAAAGTGCTGGGATTACAGGCGTGAGCCACCACACCTGGCCTCAAGAGCTCTTTTTTTTCGTTTCCTTTCTTACAGAATCCTGTTTCATGAATGCAGTTGTCTTCTCTTAGAGTATAAGTTATAGAATTTCAGGGAGTTTTATCTGTTTCGAGTTTCTTTTTTCTTTTTATTTCTATATTTCCTGTTAGAGACTTTCCCCTAAATGCTAAGCCAGCCTTGGATACGTGCTTATGTTTGAGTTGGCTGCTGTTTTCAGACAGGGTAATTACGTTTTGAGTATTCTCAGAAGCTGCCTGCGGACTTAATTCAAACCAGCAATTTTGCAAAGTTAGGGATCTCATATTCTGGAACATAGATTTAAAAGTTTGTTTAAAAAAATCCATTCTCCTTAAAATCCTTTTCTAAAACTTAGAGTAGGAGACCTGCCGAAACACAGAGGAGAGAACGCATTTCCACACTTGGGCACCTCTCGACCCTCCGGGATCCCCTTAGGACAGAGTGAGTGCTAGTTCTCTGCCAACCTAGGATTAGGCCCTAAGGCTGCCGTTAAAAAGATCCCAGAAGAAAACTCAGGAATAAAAGCGGAGAAAGTGAGACACCTGACTAAAACGACTGGAAGTCCTCGGGAAGTAGAGAAGGAGAGAGAAACCAGAAAAATCATCAGACCAGTTAATTTGCCTTTGGCGTAACTGGAGATCCAAAGCTTCCTAAAAGATTAGAAATCTCCTGAGTTTGCAGAGTTGACGTAGAAGAATCATGAACAGCCTAAAGCAGTTGCCCAGTGTGTCACAGAGAAGGGCATAGAGAAGAACTGGCAGGAATGTCCCCAGATGGTGACAAGTTTGCAGGACTTTGACTGGATGAGCCATGAGGCCACCCAGAGGCCCACGAGCCAGCCCTGGCCCTGTCCTCATGGAAGGGCCCTGCATAGGATTCTCGGATACAGAAGGAAGGAGAGCACGTCTTCATGTCCTGTCTGTGCAGACGCAGTCGTCCTTCCAGCTCCGAAGGTCCAACACAGGCTTGCACCATCCCCATTGACTTTGAGGGGCCGCTGTAGGCTCCCCGACCCATTCACTGTGTGCAGGATCCTTGGGTACCCAGAGGGGATCCCTGGATCATGAACCCTGTGTGGTCAGTTCTAGGCCTGTTTCCTGCCTTTCCCCCAGCAGCCCCCAGCGTCCCGCGGCCCCCCAGCCTCCTGAAACAGTGGCTGTTCTCTTCTGATTCAGATCCAGATGTTGAACTTGGGAGACAATTAGAACCTGGATCCCAATTCTGTCTGAAAGCAACAGAATAACATAATCTATACACTAGTGGGTGACTCTTGGCCCAGCTCAGTGTAATGAGACGTAAATGAATGACCATGACCTCAGAAGCAAAAACAAAACAAAATGGAGCAACCAGACAGATGTTCTGGAGGGCCTGAGTTTGCCAGGTCCCAACTGTTATCTATAAAGTAAAATGAGATCGTCATCACCATGCAGGAAACATGAATAAAATAGAAAACTAATTGGAGACTCTAAACGTGTTTGGGAAGAGGCGCTATGTATAAGTGGGAGCATGTTCTGATTGGTGGGCTTCCTTGTCAGTCAAGCAATTGGGTGGGGACCTGGCTCTCCAGGGATCTATGCCTGCCTTATGTTCTTCTGTGGTGCCATCTTCCCATTTCCTGTGGGACGGGAGCAGCTGGGCAGGGACCAGGCTGCCCACTCTTCAGCGTCTCCCTGTTCTCAACTCAGCGCCACTTCCCTCCCCTCACTGTGTCATTGTCTCTGCATCTGAGCAGGGGTGGGTGGCCTGCCCCTTTGATCAGCTCCCCCTTGTCTTTCATGTAGATATCAGGTAAATTGTCACTTCCTCCTAGAATTGTTTGCTGACCTCCGCCATTTTTATCGAATTCCTTCTTTATTATTTTTCTTCACAGGCCTCAGCATTCCTACCCGTGTTTTCTTTTTGTTTCTTTATTTTGAGACAGGGTCTCCTTCTCCTGCCCAAGCTGGAATGCCGTGGCACATCACGGCCACTTCAGCCTCCATCTCAGCCTCCCAGGTAGCTGGGAATATAGGCCAGCACCACCGTGCCTGGCTAATTTTTGTATTTTTTTGTAGTTATGGGGTCTCATTTCGTTGTCCAGGCTGGTCTCAAACTCCCAGAGTCAAGTGATCCTCCCTCCTTGGCCTCCCAAAGTGCTGGGATTACAGGCATGAGCCACTGCTCCCAGCTGTCCAATGTTTTATTAGGAAAAAGTTGCAAACCTTCAGAGGAGTTGGATGGATGGACAGTGATCAGCAGCATCCTCTCATACTAGGTTCTGCTATTAACAGTTTACCTCACTTGATTCATCACCTCTCTCTCCACCTATCCAGCCCTATTTTTTTTCATGCAGTTCAAAGTAAATGTAGACATTGATAGATTTCACCCTCAACGTTTCAGCATGTGTTTCATTAAGCAGAGTAAAATGCATCTATCTCCACAGTACGGTTGGATGAGTTTTGACAGATGGATACACCTGTGTGATCTGTACCCCTGTCATGAGTCACAGCATTGCCAATGTCCTAGAAAGTTTCCTCATGCCTAGTCACTTCCAGCTTTGAGATTTTCCCATCTTGGCTGTGATGAGACTCTGGGGACCTCTTGCTGCCTGCTAGAAGCTTCCTCTCCACCCCGAATACCAGGCCCTCCTTTCTCTGTCTCTTACAGGAGCCTTGAACCTGGATAGTCCGTGGCTGATGGTCTCTGCAGCTCACAGGTTGTACTGGCCACACCGAGCTGTGTTCCAAGCTGTCCTGGAGCTGACGCTGGGCAAGGCCTGGACCCTAAAGGGCCTGGTGGTCAGTGTGGACTGCAGGAGTCAGGGCTCCACCAGGGAAGGCAAGATCGAGGTCTACACTCCAGCTACCACCTACCTCCGGGTGAGCAGTGTTCAGCCCCCAGCACATGCCGGGACCCTGGCCACTGAGATCTTTTTCTGGTACAGAGGTGAATAAAAGCTGAGGCCTGTAGGCAGATAGCAGCTCACAGATGTATGAAGTTTGGCCCTCCCAGTCTCTACAGCTATGAGAGTTAGTTTTATTTATTTATTTATTTATTTCTGTGATGGAGTCTTGCTCTTGTTGCCCAGGCTGGAGTGCATTGGCACGATCTTGGCTCACCACAACCTCCACCTCCCGGGTTCAAGTGATTCTCCTGCCTCAGCCTCCTGAGTAGCTGGGATTACAGGCATGCAGCACCATGCCTGGCTAATTTTGTATTTTTAGTAGAGATGGAGTTTCTCCATGTTTTCAGGCTGGTCTCAAATGCTCGACCTCAGGTGATCTGCCCGCATTGGCTTCCCAAAGTGCCGGGATTACAGGCATGAGCCACCGCGCCTGGCCTCGGAGTTACTTCTTAGGCGATGTAGGAAAGTAGACTAAAAAAAGAAAATCAGATTTCCCATATTACTGCTTAGCAGCTGACGGGGAGAGAAATAAAAAGGAAAGCAAGTCGAACCGTACTTTGGAAACAGGTAGGCAGACATTCGGCTTTTGCCAAAAAAAATTAGAGTGAGAACTTCTAGGACGTAAGTCGGTTTTATGCGGACTACTGACTATCAGAAAGTTGCTTCTCTGCAGGCGTTTGATGCAGAAGCAAGAACAGGTTTGGGAGAAAACAGTTGAGTGTCATCTGCAGGGCTGAGAGAGCCTGGTGCATGGACAGTCTCCCTGTACTGAGTGATGCATGGAAGTGGGGAAGGTCCAACCCTGATGGGGCTCATCCGAGGGCAGCAGAGTGCCCTCTGAGGCCGGGCTGGGTGGCTTCAGGGTGGAGTCAAGGGTGATGGTAATCTTAGGGACCACAAGGTAGCCTCTGTGTACCAGAGGATGCCAAGACAGGAGCTCAAGGTGCGGGCGACTAGCCAGCTCCCATCCTTCACCCAACTGGAGGGCATGGCGGCCCTGCCCAGGGCGGTGGCAGTGGAGGTACCAGCAAGTGATCAGATCCTGGAGATGCTGATGGATTGGCGGCGGGAGGGAGTGATGGAAAGGAAATAAATAGCTCAGAGGTTTTGGCTTAAGCATCTGGTGGAATGGAAGTGCCATTCAAGGAAATGGGGAAGTTGGCCGGGGGGAACCGAGGGTCAGTGACATGGGACAAGGTGGTGCGAAGTTCTTGTACTGGGTTGGAGGCTCAGCCGAGCCCAAACCCTGTCTTGTCCTTGCCGCTTCTCCCTGTGAATTCCCTGAGTTGTGTGAATGAGGGATGGCAGCCAGCAGGGCACCAACTACCATGCGGGGCTTGTGCCGAGTGATGGCTGCAAATGGCCTACCTCCCCAGCCCCGAAACGAGCCAGGTCACACCCAGCTCTTCCTAGGATTCCCGAAGTCCACCTGTCAGTGTGTGCCCTTCAGGGTACAGACACGCTGGCTACTGGTAATAGCGGCCCAGCGAGATCACATTCCCAAACTGAAGAGGAGAGAAGGAAGTTATGTCTGCTCAGGGTTGGGGCAACAGAGAGTTTTTTTTTTTTTTTTTTTCCTTAAGGCCCTGTAGAGAAAACTAGCCTCCCTGTACCAGTCAGGTTAGGCCTCACAGAAATGGCATGAAGGGGTTTTGAGGCATGAATAGGAGTCCACCAAGTAGGAAAGAGATGAAAGGGTATCCCAGGGGGAGGAAATAGGGTGTTCAAAGGCCTTGGTCCTCCTCCCCACCTCATTGCAGGTTTCCATGGTGACAGTCTTGGCACAGAGCCTCTTCCACAGCTGGAGCAAACTCGAGTCAGCCTGGAACGCAGCAGTGCAGGGTGAGATCCATGCTGAGAACAGCTGGGACCGTAAGATCCTGCACTGCTGGTTGAAAGGCGCCCAGAGGGAGCTCAACCTAACAGCGACCTACAGGCGCCTCGAGTGGGTGAGAGCCCGACCAACCAGTCCCTCTCCTGGCTCTCCTGCCTCTCTCCCTGCTTGGGATAGAAAAGGGCTTTGTGCCACTGGCTTGGCCAGTGACCTTGGGCCTCCCTGAGCCTCTCTTTCTCTCTCTCTTTCCTTTTCCTTTTTTTCTTTTTAGATATTTTTTTGACAGTCTGGTTCTGTTGCCCAGGCTGGAATGCAGTGATGAAGTCATCGCTCACTGCAGCCTCCAACTTCTGGATTCAAAGGATCCTCCCACCTCAGCCTCCCAAGTCATCAGAACTATAGGCACATGCCACTCATGCCACCATGGCATTGAAGGGGTTTTAAGGGATGAATAGGAGTCCACCAAGTAGGAAGGAGATGAAAGGATATCCCAGGGGGAGGAAATCTCTGACTTTTTTTTAAGCACACATGAGGTATTGCTGTGTTGCCCAGGCTGGTCTTAAAGCCCTGGAATCAAGTGATCCTCCCATCTCAGCCTCCCAAAGTGTTGGGATTACAGGGGTGAGCCACTGTGCTCAGACTTAGTTTCTTAGTCTGTGAAATGGACCCTAGTCACATTAGCACAGATTCAGGAGCAAAGCTGGGCTTCCTTTGGCTGAGAAGTCCAAGTTCTTTGTTCCCCTGGGCACCTAGGGAGGTCCAGCTGTGGTGGGAGCTGGTGGGCTCCTGTGGTTTGATCAGGCTGGAGGCTGCGGTCCAGTTCAGTAGCTGTTCTTAGATAGTCACTTCTGGGAGCAATCGACAGGCCGTGGGGGGCTACCCCTTGCCTCCCTGCAAGGTGGGTCTGCGGCTTGGTCCTGTTGGCCCATCCCTCCCTTCAGCCTGGATCTTGTTGCAGCCGCGGAAGACCCAGGTGTCACTGATGGCTCTGGGGACCGGTACCCATGGCCAGCCTCGGGGCCTGCAGTTGGAGGGTGAGCTGGAGGAGCTGAGGCGAGACAGGACATTGTACCAGAAACGGGGGACATTGCTCTTTCGGTGCGTGTGCCCCTTCTCCTAGGTTGACACCCCTGCAAGTTTCCCCTTTTCCAGCACGGAGGGTCCCCAGGGGGGACAGGATGGGCAGAGCTACCTGGAGAAACCCTGCTGACCTGCTGGGGCCCGAACGGAACCAGATCCCAGAGAACAGCCCCCTCCCCTGAAAGCTGCCACATCCCTATCCGCTCCATTAGTTGTTCAGGTGGGAGCAGAAGTCGGTCTTATCCTAGCCTGGGGCTGCTTGGAGAGTCTGCTCATTTCCTAGAGACAGAGCTCATTAAAAAGGCAGTTCCCTGTGTGCTGGGAACAGCATGAGATTGGAATGAGCAGAGCCATCTTGGACGCCAGGCTATGCATTGAGCAGCTGTGTGGTGTTAGACAAGTCACCTACGGCCGAAACATCAGCAGTAATGACAAGGAATAGCAATGTCATTTGCGGATTTCATTTGTGTTTTTGCCCCATTTACATTCATTGAGCACCTATTATGTACCAAGTGCTCTTCTGGGCACGTGGAAAATGGCAGAGAACAAGAAGGGCAGAAACCCTTGCTCTTGAGGAGCTTACATTCATTTCATGTATGTGACCTCTCATCCCAGTCACTGTGTCCAATGAGTGTTATTGTAGCTGCATTTTACATATGGGGGAACTGAGGCACAGAGGTCAAGTCCTTTGCACAAGGTCGCCCAGCTAGTGAAAGTCCGTGCCTGGATTTCAGCCCCAGTCTTTGTGACACCAGATGGTGTGTGCCATCTATCACCTTGGGTCTTTGCTGTCCAATGGCGACGGGGACCCCAGCTGTGCCCACCTTGATGGCACAGTGAGATGGTGAAGGGTTCTGAATGACAAATTGTGAAAGCACAGGGCTGCCCTATGTGCTGATGTTGTCTTCTCTGAGACAGACTCCAAACTCGGCTAGCTGACGACAGGCCCAGGCTGAGACCGTGGGGCCCAGTTGTCCCCGACACTGCCAGCTGCTTTAGTGGCTTTGGCCTGTTTTTCCCTCTGCACACCAGGCACCCCTTGCGCCTGCCCATCCCGCAGAGCCTTGTCCTGCAGGGGACCTTCACAGCTGACGGGCGACACCAGCGCTATTCCCTGGAGACAAGGGTTGTCCTGAATGGCCAAGAGGAAACCCTGCAGACTGTCGTCCTGGGCTACCAGGCGGGACACCCCTATGTGAGTGGGCCTGGGCACAGCCGGGAAGGGGCCTGAGAGCTGGAGGGAGGCCCCAGCTGCCTGCATGCGTGTGTACATGTATGTGGTTGCCCCTCCCAGGTCTGTGCAGGTCTGACGCATCCATATGATGGCACAGCCATCCCCAGGAACACAGAGGGGTGCCTGGTTACTTGCAATCAGCACAAGGTAAGAGTGGAGGCCCCAGAGACCTTTGCACCCCAGCCAGCCGTGGTTCAAGTTGCTGTGATCTCTCAATAGGATTAGAAACACGTTCTCTGGACTGAGTGCAGTGGCTCACACCTGTAGTCTTAGCCACTCAGGAGGCTGAGGCAGGAGGATCTGGAAAGGCCAGGAGTTGGAGAGCCATCTGGGCAACATATGGGAACCCCGTTTCTCCAAAAAAGAATGTTTTTCAATTAGCCGTGGTGGTGTGCACTTGTAGTCCCAGCTACTCTGGAGGCTGAGGCAGGAGGATCAATTCAGCCCAGGAGGTTGAGGCTTCAGTAAGCTGTAATCACACCACTGCATTCCAGCCTGGGTCACAGAGCAAGACTCAGACACCCCCCTTCCCCCAGAATAGTTATCCACGCTGGGCACGGTGGCTCACGCCTGTAATCCTAGCACTTTGGGAGGCCAAGGCAGGCAGATCCCCTGAGGTCAGGAGTTTGAGACCAGCCTGGCCAACATGGTGAAAGCCTGTCTCTACTAAAAATACAAAAACTAGCCGGGTGTGGTGGTGGGTACCTGTAGTCCCAGCTACTTGGGAGGCTCAGGCTGGAAGATTGCTCGAATCCAGGAGGTAGAGGTTGCAGTGAGCCGAGATCGCACCACTGCATTCCAGTCTGGGCCACAGAGCCAGACTCTGCCTCACAAAAAAGGAGGTTCTCCTGCCTGGGTTCTCTGTTTCATTTGGTCCTCCCTAGTACGGTCTATGTGACAGCCAGAGGGATATTTTCTTTTTCTTTTTTTTTTTTCATATGGAGTCTGACTTTGTCACCAGGCTGGAGTGCAATGGTGTGATCTCGGCTCACTGCAATCTCCACTTCCCGGGTCCAAGTGATTCTCCTGCCTCAGCCTCCCGAGTAGCTGGGATTACAGGCGCGTCACTACACCTGACTAATTTTTGTATTTTTAGTAGAGATGGGGGTTTCACCATGTTGGCCAGGATGGCCTCGATCTCTTTACCTCGTGATCCGCCCCCCTCGCCTCCCAAAGTGCTGGGATTATAGGCCTGAGCCACCCCGCCCAGCCCAGAAGGATATTTTCTAAAGGTCAGCGTAACTCTGCCACTCCCTGGCTCTCAAACTGTGACTGCCTGTCTCGGGATAAAGCCCCAGTCCTGTGCCCTCAGCCCCACTTCGTGGCCTGCATTCCCCTCGTCCAGACTCTTCGCATTTCCTCGCCTGGCTCTTTCCTGCCTCAGGACCTCTGCGTGTCCTGTGCCTGGAGCTGTCACCCTCTCCTTCACCTCCCTTCTACTTATCGTGTAGGGCTGAGCTCCAGCATCCTCTCACATGACCCCCAGACCACCTCACACACACCCCTGGTTACCCCAGCGAGCCCTTATATCCTTTTTGCAACCTCTGCCTCCTGGGTTTCAAGTGATTCTCCTGCCTCAGCCTCCCGAGTGGCTGGGGTTACAGACGTGCATTCCCATGCCTGGCTAGATTGTGTATTTTTTTGTAGAGACAGGATTACGCCATGTTGGCTAGGTTGTCTCGAACTTGTGACATCAAGTGATCTCCCTGCCTCGGCCTCCCATCCAAAGCACTGGGATCACTGCTGTGCCCAGCTTGCCCGATATCTTTTCCTTCTAGCATCAATCATAATTTCAGTTTCTTTCTTTTTTTTTTAGACAAAGTCTTACTGTGTCACCCAGGCTGGAGTGCAGTGGCACAATCTCACTCACTGTAGCCTTGACCTCCTAGGCTCAAGTAATCCTCCCACCTCAGCCTCCCGAGTAGCTGGGACCACGGGCACATACCACGACCACACCTGCCCTTCTTAATTGTTTATTTTTAGTAGAGACAGAGTCTTGCTGTGTTGCCCAGGCTGGTCTTGAACTCCTGGACTCTAAGTGATCCTCCCATCTTAGCCTCGAAAGTGCTGGGATTACAGGTGTGAGCCACCGTACCTGGCCTCAGTTCAATTTTTGTGTGATGCATCAGCCACTGGTTCCTTTGTTACTCTGGAAAACTTACAATCTCCATGAGTACTTTACCACTGTAGCTACAGGACTTGGTACACAGTAGGTGCTCAATGAATAGTTGCTGCCATGATGCTATTTAACAGCCACTGCATGCCAGGACCCAGAGTAGAGGTCACCAAACTTTTCTGGAAAGAACCAGGTAGTAACTAGTTCAGGCACATGGTTCAGGCCTTGTTGACTCCACTCTGCCATTGCAGTTCGAGAGAATCGTGGACAGTACGTAATGAATACGTAATGAATGGGCGTGACTGTGTCCTAACAGGACTTTACTTACTGAAACACACCACATTTGGACCAGGGGCCTTAGTTGCTGACCCCTGAGTTAGAGGATCTCTTTTGAGATGGGGTATTGCTCTGTCACCCAGGCTGGAGTCCAGGGGCTCGATCATGGCTCACTCACTGCAACTTTGACCTCCTGGCCGCAAGTGATCCTCCCGCCTCAGCCTCCTGAGTAGCTGAGACCACAGGTGTGCACCACCATGCCCAGCTCATTTTAAAAATGTTTTGTAGAGATGGAGATCTCTCTCTGTTTCCCAGGCTGGTCTTGAATTCTTACATTGAAGGGATCCTCCTACCTTACCTTTCAAAGTCCTGGGATTAGGCCAGGCATGGTGGCTCATGCCTGTAATCCCAGCAGTTTCGGAGGCCAATGAGGGTGGATCACTTGAGGTCAGGAGTTGGAGACCAGCCTGGCCAACATGGTGAAACCCATCTCTACTAAAAAACTAAAAAAATTGGCTGGGCATGGTGGCAGGTGCCTATAATCCCAGCTATTTGGGAGGCTGAGGTGTGAGAATCACTTGAACCCAGGAGGCAGAGGTTGCAGTGAGCTGAGATGGCACCGCTTCACTCCAGTCTGGGGGACTTGGTCTCCAAAAATGAAAGAAGTGCTGTGATTACAGATAAGTCACTGGGCCTGGATGAGGGTCTTGACATTTTGGCTCTCGGGGTGAAACTTGTTTTTGCCTGTGTGTCCTTGGCAAATTATTTCATGTCTCTGGACCTCAGTTTCCTTGTCTGCAGAATGGGAGCAGCAGTGTTCATCTCTTACGCAGGGGCTGTGAAGATTACAATGGAGTATTGTGAAATGCCTGCCATGCCCCCGTCCAAGGCTTCTTCCTGACACCTCTAGGAGGCGTCCATACTCTGGGAGATCACCGCATTTTTCAGCAAGCATTTACAGAGCATCTGCGGTGTGCTAAGCCCCCAAGGAAGATAGTCATTGCTTCTCTCTCTCTTTTTTTGTTTGTTTGAGAGAGTCTCCCTCTGTTGCCCAGGCTGGAGTCTGGAGTGCAGTGATTAAATCTCAGCTCACTGTAACCCTCCACCTCCCGGGTTCATGTGCCAGACCCCTCCTATCCTTTTTTTTTTTTTTTTTTTTTTTTTTAAAGACCAAGTCTCCCTCTGTTTCCCAGGCTGGAGTGCAGCTGCGTGATCTCGGCTCACTGTAACCTCTCCCTCCTGGGTTCAAGTGATTCTCCTGCCTCAGCCTCCTGAGTAGCTGGGATTACAGGCACCCACCACGACACCCAGCTGATTTTTGTACTTTTAGTAGAGATGGGGTTTTTCCATTTTGATGAGGCTGATCACAAGCTCCTGACCTCAGGTGATCCACCCGCCTCAGCCTCCCACAGTGCTGGGATGACAGGCATGAGCCACAACACCCTGTTTGTCTCTTGCAAGATGCACCCTAGCCCCTGGGAAGGAGGGTGAACTAAGCACGTGTTGCGCATTGAGACCCATCCTTCTGGGGCTGCCTTCACCATTAGTCAAATGAGGCCGTGTGTGTGGGGGGTGTGTGTGTGTGTGTGTGTGTGTGTGTGTGTGTGTGTGTGTTTGCGCGCGCCTCCCCAGGGGTGACGTAGAGCTTTTAGGGGAAAACAAATGGCAGCTTGACAGCCTCAGACGCCTGCAAAGTGCCTCCCGATGGTGTTGGCTGTTTCTTATGCTGGAAATTGCAGGGCCAGCACCATGGGTCAAATTCGACCTGCAGATGGGTTTTGTTTGGTCTGCTTAGCATTTAAGTTTTTTAAGGAAATTAATTGCTACATTTGAAAATCAGAAGATTTTGAGTGAAATCCAGATTTCTGCTGTTTCTAAGAAAAAAAAAAAATTAGAAGACGTGACCATACCGGGCTTCAAATCCCAGCTGACAACAACAGACTGAGTAAATGGCAGTCCTTTCATACCGTGTAATTTGGTGCTCTGCTCTTTCTTTTTTATAATTTTTTGAGACATGGTCTCACTCTGACACCAGACTGGACTGCAGTGGCACAATCTCGGCTCACTGCCACCTCTGCCTCCTGGTTGAATTGATTCTTCTGCCTCATCCTTCCAAGTAACTGGGACTACAGGTGCACACCACCACGCGGGGTTAATTTTTGTATTTTTTAGTAGAGATGGGGTTTCACACATTGGTCAGGATGGTCTCGATCTCTTGACCTTGTGACCCGCCCACCTCGGCCTCCCAAAGTGCTGGGATTACAGGTGTGAGCCACTGCGCCCGGCCTCTCTGCTCTCTTTAAAAACATGTCTAAGCTGGGTGTGGTTGCTCACGCCTGTAATATCAGCACTCTGGGAAGCTGAGGCAGGTAGATTATTTGAGGTCACGAGTTTGAGAGCAGCGTGACCCAACATGGTGAAAACCCATTTCTACTAAATATATATTTAAAAAAAAAAGTTGGGTGTGGGAGTATGCACCTGTTATCCCAGCTACTCGGGAGTCTGAGGCAGGAGAATCACTTGAACTCCGGAGATGGAGGTTGCAGTGAGCCAATATCATGCCACTGCACTCCAGCCTGGGCGACAGAGTGAGACTGTCTCAAAAAAACAAAACAAAGCCATGTGTGTTTAATGACAAACATTTTTCTCATTTCGCATTTCCCTTGGCCCCCTTGGACCCTTATTTCTCTTCCTCCATCTTGGTTCTAATGTAAAGGTGAGCATCCCTTTAAAGGTACACAGCAATGATAAAGCTCCTTAGCAGGCATTTTTAACTTCGCATCAACACAGGTAGGAAAGATGGTAACGTGCTACTGTGTACTTGGCCTGTGGCAGAATCTGAATGGTTGTTGAGTGAATAAATGATGGCGCAATTGTATATTAGTTTGCTATGGTTGCCGTAACAAATCGCTGCAATCTTAGTGGCTTAAAACATCACGGATTTATTTTACAGTTTTGGAGCTCAGAAGCCCAAAATAGATCTCACGTGGCTAAAACCAAGGTGTTAGTAGGGCTGTGTCCTTTTTGGAAGCTCCAGGGGAAGAGTCCATTTTCTTTCCTTTTCCAGCTTCTACAAGTTGCCTGCATGCCTTGGCTCGTGGCCCCTTCTTCCACCTTCAAAGCCAGTAGCATGGCATCTTCCAGTCTGTGTGACTCTGACCCTCCTGCCTCCCTCTCATAGGACCCTTGTGATTACTTTAGGGCCACTTGGATCATCTGCCCATCTCAAGATTCTCAATCCAATCACACTGCAAAGTCTTTTTTGCCATGAAAGGTCACATATTTATAGGTTTCAGTGATGAGGACATGGATGTCATCGTGGCATGAGTGTTCTTCTGCCAGCTCCACAAAGAATTACGCATTCTTTCACTCCAGCACAGCTTTGACCTTGGGGTTTCAGGCTGTAACTAGGGATTCTGCATTTGCCCAAATATTTGTTGAGCACCTACTACATGCCAGAACCTGCGCTAAGTGTTAGGAATATGGCAGTGAACGAAACAGACTATTCCGAGGGCACTTTCTTTGAAGAAGACACAGGTATTCACATTTGTTCCATCAAGCCCACCCTGCTAATCTTACCTGTAGGCATTGGAATTCATCATTCCCGTGCACCTGTCCCCACTTCCTGCCCTATAAATGGAAGACTGTAGCCTGCTCCGTAGCCCATCAATCTTGGGACCACTTTCTTCTGACTGCTGGGTTCCCGGGGTGGCTTCTGCAGGCACGTGGAGATGGGACAGGACCTCTCTCAGTGCCTCTGGTTCTCACTCACCTAGGCTAAGAAAAGGGAGGTCGAGGCCACTTTGAAAGTCAACCAGAAAGCTGTACTGCACTTAAAGGGTCTGCATCATGACAGATCTCAGCACGGGGAAAGCCGGCACAGCCTAGCCCTGGACTTGGCCCATTCCTACCAGGTACGGGTCCCAGACACTGGTTTGTGATCTCCACACAGAGCTTGGCTGTTCGTGAAGTAAAGGGTGTTGTCTGTTTCTTCCCAGCTGAGCTTCCCCCAGGCCCTGAGCTTGGATGGGGGCATCATCTTTAGACAGAGTCCTCCAGGGACATTCAATTTTGGCGTGGATACTCGAGCTGCCATCAACCACAACATCACATCCCAGGTCAGGAGGCTGAATTCTGCTCCCTTGCCTAGGGAGGCAGTTTTTAATAACCTTTAGTGAAGGTGCCTTGTTTGGAATGTGTCAGGAGGTGGCAGGAGGCATGACCCTAGGAAGCCAACAGTACAGCCCTTATTTTTACAGTGTGTGTGTGATTAGTCAGGATGCATTGACTATTGTAAACAAATGTTTGCCTCATTGTGAAAGGCCAGTATTCACGTCTCAGCGCAGCGAGGCTCTGCTCCATGCAGTCTCTCAGGATCCAGGCCTCCCACCTTGTGGCTCTGTCCTAGATGACAGATGGAGGGAGACACGGTGGAGAGTTAGGCAGGAGGTTTTTATGGGCCAGACTTGTAAGTCGAAAGGTTGGTCATTCCTGCCTGGGTTCTCATCACATGACCCCACCTAGCTGCAAGGGAGGCTGGGAAATGTAGTTTTAGCTGTATGTCCAGAAAGAAAAGGAAATGCAGTTTGGTAAATATATAGCAGCCATTGTAGGTATATTTACTCATTCATGGCTGTTCATTTGTTCATCCATGTATGTGTTCATGTCCATTCATTCATCATGGATGGGCTGTGTCTCTGCTGTGTGCCAGGCTCTGTGATGTCCATTGGGGGGTGCAAGGGTGACTCTGTCCCCATCTCTGTTCCCATCTCTGAGGAGCTTTAAATCTAGTGGGCTTTTAGTGTTAGATAAGTTCAAGTTCATTTCCCAGTTTCACTGTTAACGAGCTCTGTAACCTTGAGATACTGGACACCGCTGAGCCTCAGTTTTGCTATCTGGAAGGTGGGAAGGTAACACCAACCTAGCAAAGCAGGGTTGAGGATTAAATGAGATGGTCACTGTGAACCTGGTAGCACAGTGCTTGGTTCGTGGTCAGGGTCAAGGAGCTGTGGGAGGCATGAACAGGAACCATAGCAGGGAAGAGGGGGTCCCAGAGTGGTCTTCCCAGCCCCCCCAGGGCTTCACTTCCTAAGCATCCTTTTTCAGGAGTGCAGCCTGAGTAAGATTTAGGGCTGAGGAACATTGAGGGAGGACAGGCGTTTCTGGCTTAAGCTTTGGGCATATTCTGGGATACATGTGCCCAGCAGCCATCTCCTGGGGTTCTGCATCTCCCTCTCTGTTCCCTGTGACACTTTTCCAACTCAACTCGCAACAGGTCTCGGTCCAGCTGAACAGATCTGACTCCGACTTCGCGTTTTTCTTCCAACTCAGACATCCCCACAGACCAACATTTCCTCCAAACTTCCAGGTATGGATGTTGCTCCCTCGGGGATGACCTTGACTTGCCTGCCAAGGGTTGTCTGTGAGCAGCAGCGATGGGCGGAAGGAAGGCAGGATGGGGGCCCGGGGGAGGGAGGCAGCCTGCACTTGGAGCGTCATGCTTAGCCAAACAGCCTCTGCAGAACCAAGAACAGATGGCAGGGAGGTTTCCAAATCCATCATTTGGAAGTGATTGTCCAGGCAAGAAGGGTTTTTAGCTTTCAGGGGTGGGGATGAAGGATCATATTTCACTCTTGAAAATGGACAGAACCGGAATTTTCCTCCAAACTCTGGCCTGTATTGGGCTTGGGAGAAGCCATGTAATGCTTCAAGAGGGCTTTATTGACCCAGGGTATTTTGCCCAGTGTGGAAGTAAAAAGGTGGAGAAAGACATCCAGGTGGAAGCCCCCAGGGCCGGGGCACTAGACAGCCCTGCCCCCAACGAAGTTTGCAGCTTCGTTGAGCAGGGTGTGGGTGGTGTTTGCACAGGAATTAGGTAGTGGCTAATTCAGGGGCATGGAGGTGTAAATAGGAAATCCCAACAGGGATGAGGCCCTTAGGAGGTGTGGGGCAGACCATTAATTTGATAGCAATAAAAAAAAAAATTAATTACAGGTGGGGTCTCACTATGTTGCCCAGGCTGGTTTTAAACTCTTGGCCTCAAGCTGTTTTCCTGCTTCAACCTTCCAAAGTGCTGAGATCACAGGCATTAGCCACTTTATCTAGCCTGAGAAATTTCAAGATAAATTTCTTTTGAGACAGGATCTCACCGTTTCCTAGGCCGGAGTGCAGTGGCATTATCACGGCTCACTTCAGCCTTGACCGCAGGGGGTCAAGCGATCCTCCCACCTCAGTTTCCTGAGTAGCTGGCACCACAGGCATGTGCCACGACACCTGGCTAGTTTTTGTATTTTTTCTTTTTTTGGCAGAGACGGGGTCTTACTGTGTTGCCCAGGCTGGTCTTGAACTCCTGGCTTCATGTGATCCTCCTCCCTCAGTCTCCCAAAGTACAGGGTTTACAGGCATGAGCCACTGCGTCCAGCCCTGACAGCATTTTTCAGACACCTGCTGTGCATTCCCTGTGCGTTGGGTTTTAAAAGGAAATTGAATGTTGCTTTCGTGGGATTCCCTAAGATCACGGCCCATCTGAGCACTGCTGGCATCTTAGATTGGAGGAAACGCCATCATATGAACTATTTGTTCTAGGAGCTGACGTCTGTGGAGTGATTGCATGGCAGGCTCTGTTCTAAACCCTCTTTGTGGATTATCTCGTGAACACCTCTTGATGCTGTTGTGTGTGGTGTAGAGCACTGTGGTACCATTTTGTGGGTGCAGCTCTGAGACTTAGACAGGTGGCATGACTTGCCCAATATCATGGAGCTCACAAGAGGAAGATTTTGGGTGGGAACCCAGGCGTCTGGCTTCAGAGCTCATGCGATTCCCTGAACTCAGTGGGGAATGGGGGTGGGTTCCCCTGGAAGCTTGGATGCTGGGTCATCTCATGGGTTCAAACATTAATTTTTTTTTTTTTTTTTTTTTTTTTTTTTTTTTTTTTTTTTTTTGAGGCAGAGTCTCTGTCGCACAGGCTGGAGCGCGGTGGCACAATCTTGGCTCACTGCAACCTCGGCCTCCCAGGTTGAAGCGATTCTCCTGCCTCAGCCTCCCAAGTAGCTGGGATTACAAGTGTGCACTACCATGCCTGGCTAATTTTTTGTATTTTTAGTAGAGATGGGATTTCACCATGTTGGCCAGGCTGATCTTGAGCTCCTGTTGACCTCAAGTGATCCACCCGCCTCGGCCTCCCAAATTGCTGGGATTATAGGCATGAGCCACTGCACCTGGCTCAAAGGTTAATTTTAGTTGTTTTTGTTTTGTTTTGTTTTGTAGATGGAGTCTGGCTCTGTCACCCAGGCTGGAGTGTGGTGACACGATCTCGGCTCACTGCAACCTCTGCCTCCCAAGTTCAAGCGATTCTCCTGCCTCAGCCTCAGGAGTAGCTGGGATTACAGGTGTCTGCCACCACGCCTGGCTAATTTTTGTATTTTAGTAGAGACAGGGTTCGCCATGTTGGCCAGGCTCGTCTCAAACTCCTGATCTCAGGTGATCTGCCTGCCTCAGCCTCCTAAAATGCTGGGATTATAGGCATGTGCCACCGTGCCTGGCCATTTTAATTATAATTTTTAAGACAGGGTCTTCTGTGTCACCCAGGCTGGAGTGCAGTGGTGTGATCATGGCTCATGGCAGCGTCCGCCTCCCAGACGCCAGTCACCCTTTGACCACAGCCTTCTGAGTAGCTGGGACTACAGGTGCACGTCCCCACGCTCAGCTAATGTTTCCAATTCTTGTAGAGATAGGAGATCTTGCTCTGTAGCTCAGGCTGATCTCAAACTCCTGGCCTCCAGCAGTCCTCCTGCCTTGGTCGCCAAAGTGCTGGGGTCACAGGTGTGAGTCATCGTGCCCTGCTAGTCTATGGGCTTGACAGATGCATATAGTGTCATGGATCTGCCATTACAGCGTCATTCAGAGAAGTTTCCCTGCCCTAAATAAATCCTCTGGGCTCTACCTTTTCATCCCTCCTACGCTCCACCCCCGGCAACTGCTGATCCTTTTACTAGCTGTGGTTCTGACTTCTCCAGAATGTCACAGAGCTGGAACACGGTGTGCAGCCTTTTCAGATGGGCTGCTTTCAGTTGGTAATACATACTTAAGTTTCCTCGATGTCTTTTTTTTTTTTTTTTGACAGAGTTTTGCTCTTTTTGCCCAGGCTGGAGTGCAATGGCATGATCTTGGTTCACTACAGCCTCCACCTCCTGGGTTCAAGAGATTCTCTTGCCTCAGCCTCCTGAGTAGCTGGGATTACAGGCATGCACCACCACGCCTGACTAATTTTTGTATTTTCAATAGAGGCGGGGTTTCTCCATGTTGGTCAGGCTGGTCTCGAACTGACCACAGGTGATCCTTCCACCTTGGCCTCCCAAAGTGCTGGGATTCCAGGCATGAGTCGCCATGCTTGGCCTCCTCTATGTCATTTTCAGCTTAATCGCTCATTTCTTATTAGCACTGGTTAATATTCCATTGTGTGGATGTACCATATTTTATTTATCAGTTCATCTATGGAGGCACTAGGCATTCTTTTAAAAGCTTTCCGGGCTGGGCATGGTGGCTCACGCCTGTAATCCCAGCACTTTGGCAGGCCAAGGCGGGCAGATCGCCTGAGGTCAGGAGTTTGAGACCAGCCTGGGCAATATAGTAAACCTGTCTCTACTAAAAATACAAAAAAAAATTAGCTGGGCATTGTGGCAGGTGTCTGTAATCCCAGCTACTCGGAAGGCTGAGACAGGAGAATCACTTGAACTTAGGAGGTGGAGGTTGCAGTGAGCTGAGATTGCACCACTGTTCTCCAGTCTGGGTGACACAGTGAGACTCCATCTCAGAAAATTAAAAAAAAAAAAATTTTCCATGTGATTGTAATGCACAGGCTGGATTGAGAACCACAGGGCTAAACCCACTTTGCGGATGGGGAGACTGAGGCCCAGATCAGGAAAGGGAGGGACTCAGGTCCCGAGGAGCTGGTGGAGCCTTGGGCCTCTCTGCTCGCAGCCCCCTCTGCTCCCCTCAGTACCCTTGTTGGGCCCAGCCACGTGTTCACCCCAGCCTGACCACTCGGGTACTCAGATGCCATCTCCTTTGAACCCCAGAAGTTCTGGGTCCTCTGGTGCCCGGCAGGCACTCGATGGGGCCTCCTTTTCTGTGGAGGAGTTGCAAAGATGTCCTCTGCTTCCCTCACCAGCCTCTTTCAGGCACCGGCACAAGTTTTAGAGCTAGGCAGACTCAGGTGGCCTATGTGACCCTCTCAGAGTCTCAGTTTCCCCTTTTCACAATAAGAATTCCCATTTCACATGTGGTGGAAAGGTCAAGATGAGACTGTACTCCTGGGCCGGGAGCTGGGGCCAGGGTAGGCTGTCTCCCCCTTCCTCCCTCCATCTGTTTTTCATTCTGCTTGTGTGCTGTCTACCATGGTTGGTGAGTGCTCAAAGCTGGAGTGGCCCAGAAGGGCTTCCTGGAGGAGGAGGCAGCCCTCCCCCACACCCAGGGTCTCACAGACCCTTCCTGTCCTTCCCCTGCCTCCCTGCAGGTGCAGGCAGCTGCCGGACACTACAGAGTGCGCAGCCTCAACGGGTCCCTATCTGTGCAAATGTCCGGCCGGGAGCTGGCTCTGCTGGAGGTCGACGCCAGCCAGAACACTCGGAGGAGCAGCCGGGGCTGGGGCGTAAGTGTCCTTCTCCACCAGGCTGTCCTCAGCGCCCCCAGGGCTGTTCGGCTGCAGCTGTCTGGAAAGATCACCCCAGCAAGGTAACGGTCCCCAAGTACCTGTGACAAGGCAGGAAGACCACAGAGCAAAGGCACCTGTCCCGGGACATGGGAAACCCTCACTCAGAGGCCCCTCTCGGTCCCTCTGAGAGCACACCCAGGTCAGCCCGATCGGTGCCACTGAGGGTGTCAGAAGCAGGTGGCATTCAGTTCCACTCTCACCCTTTATTTCTTTTTTGTATTGTTATGAGAACGTTTATTGTAGATGGCTTAAAGATGATATATAAGGCCAGGGCACCGTGGGTCACGCCCCAGGGCTTTGGGAGGCTGAGGCAGGAGGGTAGCTTGAGTGCAGGAGCTCCAGAGCAGCTTATGCAACATCGCAAGACCCCATCTCTACAAAAAAATTAAAAAATATATTAGCCAGATGTGGTGGGGTGCACCTGTAATCCCAGCTACTTGGGAGGCTGAGGTGAGAGGATTGCTTGGGCTTCGGAGTTGGAGGCTGCAGTGAGCTGTGATTGCACCGTTGCAGTCCAGCCTGGGCGGCACGGGGAAATGAGCCTGTTGCTAAGATAGTAATAATTGTGATAACGTAAAAACGAATGAAACAAAATCACTACTGACCCCAAAGAATGTGCGTCTCCCTCTGGTCTCACGTCTGAGTATATATTTACGTATAGACATGTCCAGTATGGTGGGGTGCTCAGGAGCCTGGGGTCCAGGATTGGCCACTTGGGTTCAAGTCCTGGCTCTGCCACTGCTGCCTCTGGGACCATTCTCCCTTCTGTGCTTCAGTTTCTCCCCCTGCTTCTTAGGGTGGATGAACTGAGCACTGCATGTGAGTTCCAAGCTAGGGCCAGTGGGCATGCTCAGTGGGTACCCTCTTTGCTGCAGGTGTCAAATGAAATGCCAGACTTTCCTGCCACTGTCCTCTCAGTGCTCAGACATGATGCCTCTGTGACCAGGAGCAGGGGCGTCATTTTCTCTAGCAAGCAATACTCTGATGGACGCTAACTGGTTGTCCTACAAATTAACTTGAGTTCTGACTCTGGAGGTGGCATCAGCTCCTCAGGTTAAGTGTGCAAGGCTGCCTGCAGGTGTAGACACCATTCCCCTCAGGCTTGCTAGTAGCTGGATCTGCAGGCTTGCCGCCACACCTGGCTAAATTTTTGTACTTTCTTTGTGGGAACAGCATCTTGCTATATTGCCCAGGCTGGTCTTGAACTCCTGGCCTGAAGCAGTTTTTCTGCCTTAGCCTCCCAGTGTGCCAGGACTACAGGCATGAGCCACCTTTTATACATCATTACACATTATTACCTGTAGATTATTATAATTCTTCATGTTATCTACCGTGACTGCTCCCATCACAATGGAAGAACCTAGGTTCGGCTCCCCACTGTGCTTGGTGAGTGCTCGAGAGCTGGAGGGGCTCAGGAGGGCTTCCTGGAGGAGGGGATCCTCCCCCACACTCAGGTTCCTATGGACCCTTTCTGTCTACTCTCTGCTTCTGAGCTCTCTCCTGCCTCCTGACCAACTGGCTATAACTTGGAGGTCCCCATGACCTCCTCCCATCTTGTGTCTGATCATTTGCAAAAATGGCTCACAGAACTCAGGGAAACTTTTTATTTATATTTACTCATTGTTTATAGAAGCTATGATTGGAGAATGGCCAGATGGAAGAGACGCATAGGGCAAGGTATGGGGGAAGGGGTGCTGAGCTTCCCTGCCCTCTCTGGGCTCAGCATCCTCTGTGTGTTCAGCCCAGAAGCTCTCTGTGAGCCCCATGGTTCAGGGATTTCTATGGTGGCTTCATCATGTAGGCATGACTGCCTATTGACTCAGTCTCTAGCCGCTCTCCCCTTCTCAGAGGATTCAAGTTCCAAGCTCTATCATGGCTTGGTCTTTTTGTTGACCAGTCCTATCCAGGAGCCCACCGAGAGTCACCTTGTTGAACCAAAGATGCTCCTATCAACAAAAGGGACTTCCGACTTCCAAGGGATTAGGAGCTCTGTGTCAAGGATTAGGGGCAGAGACTAAGTATGTATTTCCTATTACATCACCATATTATGCTGCTATTTTAGGTACTGCGTATTCTGGTACAAATTGGGTCTCCGTTAAATATTTCCTCTGTGATCCGGGCGTGGTGGCTCAGGCCTATACTCCCAGTACTTCGAGAGGCTGAGGCGGGCTGATCACCTGAGGTCTGGGGTTTGAGACCAGCCTGATCAACATGGAGAAGACCCCGTCTCTACTAAAAATACAAAATTAGTCAAGTGTGATGGTGCATGCCTTTAATCCCTGCTGCTCAGGAGGCTGAGGCAGGGGAATTGCTTGAATCCGGGAAGCAGAGGTTGCAGTGAGCCGAGATGGTGCCATTGCATTTAAGCCTGCACAAAAAGAGCGAAACTCTGTCTCACAAAATAAAAAAGATGTCCTTTGCAATCCCGGGTTTGTTCCAGCTTTGGCATGGATTTAAGGAGCCCCTCGGCCGTGAACATGGTCCTAGATAAACCTTGTCCTCGGAATTGCCACCACAGCTGTCTGTCCACCCACCTGTCCAACTGTCCATCCTTATCCCCAGTCTGAAAAGGATTTGAGGCAAATTATGAAAACGTACCCCGTTCTAGGTCAGGAGTTGGCAGACTTTCAGTAAAAGGCCAGATGGTAAATATTTTTAGCTTTGTGGACCATGTGGTCTCTGTTGCAACTACGCAACCCTGCCGTTGAGGCACAAGAGTGTCACAGACAATTCATAAATAATATGCATGACTGTGTTCCAATAAAACTTTATTTATAAAAACAAGTGGTGGGCCAGTTTTGGCCCACATGCTGTAGTTTGCCAGCCCTTGTTCTAGATTTTAAAAAGATACGTGAGGAAGCTGGGGGAAGGGAAAAGAAAAATAGAAAAATTGGGAAGATACTCAAAGTAATATCAGCAAACAAAATGGTTGCCATGAGTTCTTCTGTATTTTTTAGAGCTCGGTTGAAGATTTGGCTCTGAGTTTCCTAGCAGCCAGTGCAAAGAGAGAAACCAACACTCCACAGCTGTGCACCACGAAATGCACGGCTCATTTTGTTCGTAGTGGTGAAGCTCAAGGGTAATCTCTCTCATGGTGTCACATAAGGAATTCACTGTGTGATGATAGGAACTGTGTCCCCTGCCCCAATTTTCCAGCCAGTTGAACATCAAGCTTGACGAGTCTGTTCCTTTTCTCACATATCACTCACTCGTTATGACCTTGTATTCCAAAGTTCATTTAGTTCTGAACAGCCCTGTGTGTCAGGCACTGCTAACTGCTTAGTTGAGCTTTGGACGTGTTAGTCTCTGTCTCCCTGTTTCCTCATCTGTATATTGGGGATCATAATATTCTCAAAACTAAAAGGGCTTTTGTAAGGAGTCAGACAGTGCATCTAAAGTGCACAGTGCATGGCAGAGAGTGTGTTGGTTAGATATTGCTGCATAGTGAGCTACCCCCAAGCCTAGAGATTAAAGAACAACCATTTTGTGTGCTCACGATTCTGTGGGTCAGGAGTTTCCACAAGGCTTAGGCAGTTCTGCTCTATGTGGCATCAGCAGGGGTCATTCTCTGGGACTCTTCGCTGACATCAGCCTTCAGATGAGTCGCTTACCAGCCAGCTGTGTGCATGGGCTGAGGACGGAGTGGTGGCTTCCTTCCCATGTCTGGCACCTTGGTGCTCTTCCACGTGCAACCCCCCACTCTCTTTTCAAGTGGCTGCTTGGGCTTCCTCACGTCATGGCAGTCTCAGTTTGGTCAGACTTCCTACCAGGTGTCTGGGTTCCAAGAGGAAGCATTCCACATCCCACAGGAATGTGGAAGGTGAAAGTTGCAGATCTTAGGGTCCTACGTTGAAAGTTCTACAGTGTCACTTATGCCACATTCTATTGACCAAAACACAGGTCACAAGGCTAGCCCTGATTCAAAGGGAGAGGAAATAGATCTCACATCTTAATGCAGGAGTGTCAAAGTCACATTGCAGGAGAGTGTGGGAAGGGGTGGCCATAGGTGGAAACACACTCTGTCACACCTGGGTGGGTACCTGTCAGTATCAATGTCAATTTCAGTTCAAGGCCAGGCACAGTGGCTCATGCCTGTAGTCCCAGCACTTTGGGAGACTGAGGCAGGTGGATCACCTGAGGTCAGGAGTTCAAGACTGGCCTGGACAATATGCTGAAACCCTGTCTCTACTAAAAATACAAAAATTAGCCAGGTGTGATGGCGGGGGCCTGTAATCCCAGCTACGTGGAAGGCTGAGACAGGAGAATCGTTTGAGCCTCAGAGGTGGAAGTCGCAGTGAGCCGAGATCGTGCCACTGCACTCCAGCCTGGGCGAGAGTCTTCCCCGCCCTCCAAAAAATGCTCAATATCAGTATGTCCACTTTATTCCCTACTTCACATAAGAAGAAGCTGATGCTCAGAGAGGTTATGTCCTTGTCCCAGGTTATCCTGTTATTCGGAACCCGGGTTTGCCTGACTACAAAGCCTGATCTTAACCCTCTTACTTCACCGTCTAGGATTTGGCTGTTTTCCAAGGCACTACTGGACCAGAACACGGCACAGCTGCTCCTCAAGGCATCCGAGGAAAGGAGGGGAGGCCAGGTCCTGACCTTACAGAGCCAAACCCGGCACACGGTGGCTGGCTGGGCAGCGATGCCCCGCCTCCTGACACTCACAGGAAGGCTGAAGCAGGAGGAGACACTTCGAGAGGGTGAGGGAATGCCATGGGGCAGGGGCAAGCACTTTCTAGGGAACTACAGAGTAGATTCAGCCCACCCAAGTCCACTGATGTTCCAATTCCAGCATCTCACACTGGTGTATACGCAGTTTTAGATAAAGGGGTATAGATGATTCCCCTCTGTGAGAAATGAATATGCATTCTGACAAGGAAAATGTGCTAACTAAAAACTGAATAGCGTTCCTTATGCAGGACTTGTCAGAGCCTTTAACATGCTAACGGACAGTGTGTATTTCCAGGAGGGAGAGTTGGGTGCAGGGTTTCCAAGCATATTTTTTTAGAAAACTTTTTATTTTGATGTAACACTAGACTTGTAGAAAAGTTGCAAGAATATTACAAAGAATCCCACAGGTCCTTTGCCCAGATCAATCAGTTGCTAACATTTTACATTCCGTTGATCGTTCTCACATTCATATTCTCTCTGTATGTACATATGTGTATACTCTATTTATGATTTTATTCCTGGCTTGTGTTTTCCTAGGTTGCAGACATGATAACTCTTTCTTTTTTAGTTTTATGAGAGAGTTTTGCTCTTACCCACCAGGCTGGAGTGCAGCGGAGCCATCTCAGCTCACAGCAACCTCTGCCTCTCAGGTTCAAGTGATTCTGCTGCCTCAGCCTCCCAAGTAGCTGGGATTACAGGAGCGCAGCATCACATCTGGCTATTTTTTTTTTTTTTTTTTGTATTTTTAATAGAGAATGGGGTTTCACCATGTTGGCCAGGCTGGTGTCAAACTCCTGGCCTGTTGTGATCCATTTGCCTCAGCTCCCAAAATGCTGGGATTACAGGTGTGAGCCACCACGCCTGGCCGATATTGACATTTTGCAGGGTACGAGGCAGTCATGTTGTGAAACAGCCTCTGTCTGGGTTCGAGTGATGCTTCCTGATGGCTGCGTTCAAGGACACCACAGAAGTAAGGCAGCCTCCTGTCAGGTGGCACCTGCTGTCCATTTGTATAGCGTTGGTGACATTAGCTTTGATCTCTTGATTAAGGTGGGGTCTGCTAGGTTTCTTGGCTGTAAAGCTCTCAGTTGTTTACTTTGTAATGAATAAGTAGTTGTGGTGAGATACTTGGACGTATTCTGTGGTCTCATCGCATTGTGAACCACCTAGGTTTAGCGTCCACTGGTGATGCTGGTCTGAGTCTGTTACTGCTATCATGATTGCCAAATGCGGACTTTTCTAATTTTTTTTTTTTTTTTTTGAGACGGAGTTTCGCTCTTGTTTACCCGGGCTGGAGTGCAATGGCGCGATCTCGGCTCACCGCAACCTCCGCCTCCTGGGTTCAGGCAATATTCCTGCCTCAGCCTCCTGAGTAGCTGGGATTACAGGCACACGCCACCATGCCCAGCTGATTTTTTGTATTTTTTTTAGTAGAGACGGGGTTTCACCATGTTGACCAGGATGGTCTCGATCTCTTGACCTCATGATCCACCCGCCTCAGCCTCCCAAAGTGCTGGGATTACAGGCGTGAGCCACCGCGCCTGGCTGGACTTTTCTAATTTAAAAAAAAAAAAAATTTATTGCTTAGAGGCCAGGTGTGGTGGCTCATGCCTGTAATCCCAGCACTTGAGGAGGCTGAGGCAGGAGGATTGCCTGAGGCCAGGAGTTAAAGACCAGCCTGGACAACACGGTGAAACCCTGTTCTTACTGAAAATATAAAAATTTGCCAGGTTCGGTGTTGCATGCCTGTAGGCTCAGCTACTCAGGAGGCTGAGGCATGAGAATCGCTTGAACACGGGAGGCGGAGGTTGCAGCAAGCCAAGGTCACACCACTGCACTCCAGCCTGGGAGAGAGAGTGAGTCTCTGTCTCGAAAAATAATAGTAATGTATTGCTCAGGGTAGAACGCTTTCCCTGCGCACTCCCTCTGCCTTTCTCTTCCCTCCTGTCTTAATCTGTCCTCAAAATGCTATAACATACCTGAGACTGGGTCATTGATGAAGACATTGGCTCATAGTTCTTCAGGCTGTACTGGAAGCATGCTGCATCTGCTTCTTGAGGTGGGGGCTGGGGGTTGGGCTGCCAGCATGTCACAGGCCACAGCAGGGTTAAGAGAAAAAGGGGTGTGCCGCTACACACGTTTAAACAACCAGATCTCACCGTCACAAAGGAAGTACCGAGGGGATGCTGCCAAACTGTTTCTGAGAAATCCGCTCCCAGTGATCCAGCCACCTCCCAGCAGGCCCCTTGTCCGACACTGGGGATTACAATTCAACATGCAGTTGTTGGGGACACAGGTCCAAACCTTATCACTGTCCCCTTTCCTTCCTTCCTTAACCTCAGTACGGACTCATGGACTCCTGTTTTATTCTGTAATCCATAATGATCAGGATTTATTTCAGTGCCCAGGTTTCCTAGATTTACCCCATGGGAGTCCCTGAAAGAGGCTCCTCTCCCTCCCCCTCTGCCTCAGCATAGAGAAAGATCTAATTGTACGGCAAGCACCCATGTGCTCCCCTCCTAACTATTACAATTGTTTGCATTTTGCATGATTGTCTTTCTCCCCTATGCACTATCCACGTGTCAGAGGTGTGTAAACCAGAGCAACTCCATCTTGAATGGGAGCTGGGTAAAAAGAGGCTGAGAACTACTGGGCTGCATGTTATGTATAAATTTTCAGTGCTATAAAAGAATTAATACTCAAATATAAATTTTCTCAGCAAGGCAATTTACTTCTATAGAACATTGGGCTCGCAGATGGAGCAATAGTGAGCGTACACACGTGGACAAGGGAGGGGAAGGGGTTCTTAATCCTGACAGAGGTTGCCCCTACTGCTATATCATTCTCCTATTGGCTAGGGTTAGACAGCACAGTCTAAGCTAATTCCGATGGCTATTTTAAAGAGAGCAGGGGTATGAGCCGGAGTGGTGGAGTGGGTAGTTTGGTAGGAAGGACGGTTACTGGACTGGTTAGAGCAGGTGACCAGGGATGACTCAGGTCAGAGCAGGTGACCAGGGGAACAGATGTGAACTACTGATTAGAACTGGCGGGAAAGTTGTTTACTGAAACTAGAGGCGAGGGGGCGAAGAGGACCAGGAAGTTAAACTTTAAACTGGAGCTGAACATACTGACATACTGATTATTTGAGGAGAAACTTGGAGTTCACTATATCTAACATGCATTCCCAGAAGTTAAGGCATTCTAAATCCCAGGATGAGACAGGAGGTCGGCCCAAGATACATTTCATGAAGACCTTGCTGCTAAAACAGGTTGCAGTAAAGAAGCCGGCTAAATCCCACCAAAACCAAGATGGTGACGAGAGTGACCTCTGGTGTTCCTCATTACTACACTCCCTTCAGCACCATGACAGTTTACAGATGCCATGGCAACATCAGGAAGTCACCCTATATGGTCTAAAAAAGGGATATAGGCCAGGGGCGGTGGCTCACACCTGTGATCTCAGCACTTTGGGAGGCGGAGGCGGGTGTATCACCTGAGGTCAGAAGTTCAAGACCAGCCTGGCCAATATGGAGAAACCCCGTCTCTACTAAAAATAGAAAAAAATTAGCTGGGTGTGGTGGTACATGCCTGTAATTCCAAATACTCAGGAGGCTGAGGCAGGAAAATTGCTTAAACCTGGGAGGCGGAGGTTGCAGTGAGCCAAGATCACGCCACTGCGCTCAAGCCTGGGCAGTGTTAGATACAGTGAACTCCAAGTTTCTCCTCAAAGAATCAGTGTGTCAGTATGTTGAGGTCTCTTATTCTTTAATTCTCTACTTTAAAGTTTAACTTCCTTGTAGTTTCAGTAAACAACCTTTTCCACCAGTTCTAATCAGTAGTTCACATCTGTTCCCCGTCCTCTGCTCCATCCTGACTCATCCCGGCCACCTATTCTGGTCTCCTGTCCTGGTCACTGCTTTGACCTGAGTCACCCCTGGTCACCTTCTCTGAACTGTTGCATAACCGTCCTTCCTGCCAAACTACCCACCCCACCACTCCGGCTCATACCCCTGCTCTCTTAAAAATAGCCGATGGGAATTAGCTTAGACTGTGCAGTCTAACCCTAGCCAATAGGAGAATGACACAGCAGTAGGGGCTACCTGTGTCAGGAGTAAGAACTCCTTTCTCTCCCTTGTCCAGCTGTGTGCCTGCCATTATTCCATCTGTAAACTGCACCCTTCTATAGAAGTAAATTGCCTTGACTGGGCGTGGTAGCTCACGCCTGTAATTCCAGCACTTTGGGAAGCCAAGGTGGGCACATCACGAGGTCAGGAATTTGAGACCATCTTGGCTAACATGGTAAAACCCTGTCTTCTACTAAAAATACAAAAATTAGCCAGGCGTGGTTGTGGACACCTGTTTGCTGAGGAAATTTATATTGGAGTGCTACTTTTATGGCACCAAAAATTTACATAAAACAGCAACAAGAGTAAAACGATCTCAAATAAAATAAAAAATAGAAAGCGGGGGGCATGAATAACCCACCCTTGTTGAGTGTATATAATCAAGAAATAACCATAAAAATAGGCAGCCAGCAGTCCTGGGGGCTGCTCTGTCTTGAGTAGCCATTATTCCTTTCTTAGTAAATTTGCTTTTGCTTTGCACCATGGACTCGCGCTGAATTCTTTCTTGCATGAGATCCAGGAAGCCTGTCTTGGGGTCTGCATCCAGACCCCTGTCCTGTAAAACATCCATCTATGTTCTTACTGATGCTTTTCAGAGTAAGTTGTAGACATTAGAACACCTTACCCCTGAATGAATTAGCGTGCACATCATGAACTAAAGCTCAATATTTGCTTACAGTTCTGCTCCTCTCTTAGTCTCCCTGCTTACTTCTTTCCTCTGGTCATGTAAATTTACATGGAATGAAATGTGCCAATCTCAGCTGGGAGCAGTGGCTCAAACCTGTAATCCTAGCACTTTGGGAGGCTGAGAAGGGCGGATTGCTTGATGCTAGGAGTTTGAGACCAACCTGGGCAACATAAGCAGACTCTGATACCACAAAAATTTTGGAAATTAGCGGGATGTGGTAGCGCATGCCTGTAGTCCCAGCGACGTGGAGACTGGCGTGGGAGGATCGCTTGAGCCTGGAAGGTTGTGGTTGCAGCAAGCCATGATTGCGTCTCTGCGTTCCACCCGGCCACAGATCGAAACCCTGTCTCAAAGAAATAACCATTTAAATGTCTAGTGGTCTCTCTTTGTGGCTTTAATTTGCATTTTTTTGTTGATGGATGAAGTTGATCATGTTTTCATGTATGTTATTTGTTCACGTAGCCTCCTTTGAGACAGGTCAGATCAATTTTTTTCCCCATTTTAAAAGTTGTCTTTTATTGAGCTGTAGATACTCTTTATATATTCTGGAATAGAATGTTTTCTTCCATTTTGATTTTTATACCTTTTTTTTTTTTTTTTTTTTTTTNTTTTTTTGAGATGGGGCCTTGTTTTGTCACCCAGACAGAGGTGTGGTGGCACAATCATGGCTCACTGTAGCCTCAAACTCCTGGGCTCAAGCAATCCTCCTGCCTTAGCCTCCCAAGTAGCTGGGACTATAGGTGCATGCCACCATACCCAGATAATTGTTTTTTAGAGGCATGGTCTCCATTTTTTGCCCAGACCAGTCTGGAACTCCTGAGTTTAAATAATCTTACCTCAGCCTCCCAAAGTGCTGGGATTATAGGCATGAGCCACCATGCCTGGTCTGATATTTTTATGCCATTAAAGTTTTTTTTTTTGTTTGTTTTTCTTACTGCAGTGGGTAAGAACTACAGTATAATATTGAATAAAGATGCTAAGAGCAAAAATTCTCACCTTGTTCTTAGTCTTACAAGGAAAATGTTCAAAATTTCCACAAATAATTTTAATGTTTTCTATTGGTTTTGCATAGATGTTCTTTATCAGATTGCAGAGTTTTCATTTGTTTGCTTTTTAGAGACAGTCCTGCTGTGTCTCCCAGGCTGGAGTGCAGTGGTGCAGTCTCAGCTCACTGTAACCTGCAACCTCCGCCTCCTGGGTTCAAATGTTCTCCTGCTTTAGCCTCCCAAGTAGCTGGAATTACAGGCACACGCCACCACACCTGGCTAATTTTTGTAGTCTTACTAGAGACAGAATTTCACCATGTTGGCCAGGCTGGTCTCGAACTCCTGGCCTCAAGTGATCTGCCTGCTTCAGCCCCCTTAAGTGCTGGGATTATAGGCACGAGCCTGGCTAGTTTTTATTAGTTCTTAAGAATGGGTGTTGAATGTAGTCAGAGGCCTTTTCTGAATCTAGTACATTTTCATATGGTTTTCCACTTTCATTTTGTTAATAGAGTGAATTAAATTGGTCTTCAGTGTGAAACCAACTTTGCTTTAGTGGGATTCCCTCCATTTTTTCATAAGTATTTTTCTTTCTGCATTTAATTGAATTTGGTTTCCTAATACTTTGTTAAGAGAGTTGGTATCTGTGGGCTGGGCGCGGTGGCTCACACCTGTAATCCTAGCACTTTGGGAGGCCGAGGCAGGCAGATCTTGAGGTCAGGAGATTGAGACCGTCCTGGCCGACACGGTGAAACTTCATCTCTACTAGAAATATGAAAATTAGCTGGGCATGGTGGTGTGTGCCCGGAGTCCCAGCTGCTCAGGAGGCTGAGGCAAGAGAATCGCTTGAACCTGGGAGGCGAATATTGCAGTGAGCTGAGGTCGTGCCACTGCACTCCAACCTGGCAACAGAGTGGGACTCCATCTCAAAAAAAAAAAAATTGGTATCTGTGTTCACAGCACTATTGGGTTGTAATTTTCCTTTTTTGCAAAGCTCTTGTCAGGTTTGGTATGAGGTTGAAGCTGATTTGATAAACCAAGTTGATTATTCTGTTCTTTTTTCTTTTCTGAAAGAGTTTGTTTGAGATTGATGGTGATCTTCCCTAAATGTCTGATAGACTACCAGTGAAGACATCTGGAGCTTGTCTGTGGGATTTTTTTGGAGAACATATAAATATAGAGCTATTCAGATTTTCTGTATTACTTTGTAAATTAGCTTGCTTGATTTTCAGAGTATCCTGTGCGGGAACTCTGCCATAATTTGATGGATTTCACAAATGTGCCATTT